AAGTCACGAAAAAGCGGCTCTGAAGAAGGCGATACTGCCGAAACGTCAGCTAGCGTTGTATTGTATTGTGTTTTTCTATGAAGTAAATGTATGCTGTTTAAAAACCTCGCGATTGCTGAACGAGAAAACGACACATTCATATTCCAATGCCGAGGTTAATAGAAAGTCGATCCTGGGAACGATAATAGTAATAGTAATAGTAGTAGTAATAGGTGGTAGGTAGGTAGTAGTAGGTAGTAGTTGTAAGATTGGTAATAAGTAATAAGGTTTAAGGCACGTCAGTGTCCTGAATGTGTCGTGAAACTTACTCTCCTACGAACTAAAACCTAAAGTGCCCCAAAGCTGGACTTACCAGGATCACGTTGCAGCGGATTCTTTCTGGCATTACTAGTGGAATCGCTCCTGTCGCTGATGCATGGCAGAATGAAGAGTTAGCTGGAAGTGTTGATCCGAACACTGTTCTTTTAGAAGATGGTCAGCTTGGTAATTATGAACCTAAAGAGCCAGAAGTGCCTTCTAACCAGCCAGGTAGGCTAATTGCTTTTATGCCGTAAAGGAAGATACAATGACTCGAATGGCTTGATATCACCAATTATCTAGCTATTTCTCACTTCTTATAGGCACAATTTTATTTTTCTGCATAGTGCTTGCTGTTATTGTTTCCTTTTCTGTAAGATTAAGAGATAGCCCCTCTGAGGTGATCCCGACCCCACCAAAGATGAGTGTCACGGACCCTTATGGATTGGTGGGAGATTCGTTGCTTCGCGAAGAGTTTTGCTATAAAAGCGGCAATACTCTATATAGATTTGCCCCTGACCTTCCTAATGCAAAATTGGACTTTTTTGTTCAAATAGCTCAATTTGGATGAAGCCTCTAAATTCTACGTCCCTGAACACAGCCTTTCACAGTGATACACTGGACGATAATGTTTTAACTATTCTTAACAGTGAGGCGGTGAACAATAATGTAGCCATAGTAGTGCTGAGAAATTTGCAAAACTCTGGACCGCTGGTGTCTGCGGTGGGGATCGACACGCTATCTGTTGCCCTTATGGTGTTCAGTCCCTACTCAAGACACCAGCGGTCCGGAGCTTTGCAAGTATCTCAGCATCGTTGTGGCTGTATTTCGCATCATACCCTGCCACAAAAAAAAGTAGGCAGTAAGTGAAAAGTAGCGATATTGTTAGCAACAATGTTATGCGATGAATCCATTGCTAAGTGCGCGTGTGGCGCAGTGGTCGGAGGCGCCCTGCAATGCACATGGGATCGATTCCCTTGCCCTTGGCCCACCAAGCCTTCCATCCCTCCGGGTTCGGCAGATTGTTACCAGACGTCTAGGAGGATAGCAGCATTGGCCCGATAGATCGGTAGACCACTGTTAGTCATTGTATAGGACAGATATGCATTCAATCATCTCCAAACGATGTTTAGTGAAGGCGAATGCATGGCGAATCACTAATGCTTTGATTAGCGCAGAGAGCTTTATCCTTTATCATTTGTTGAATCTATTGCCACAACAGTGTCTTATATATAGGATCTGTATGTTTGAGGTATTAGTTACAAGTTTAGGTGAAGGCGGTTTACCAGTTGTGGTGTCTGATGATGCTGGTATGAGAGAATCGAAACGGGCTGATCAGGAGTACGGTTTCAACACCTATGTCAGTGACATGATATCACTGAACCGCACTATTCCCGACATAAGAATGGAAGAGTAAGTAGGCGTCATTGTCCGAGTTTTCCTACGCTTTTGTCCCAGGTGTTCAACATGGAATGTTCGGTTTTCTACGTCGAACATTTAGTTTTGCCGTGAGTCCTTAACACTCTGCTTTTAGCTTTCCAATGTCACTAACAATCTTGAGTTCTCCACGACTTTTCCGAGCTTCCATGTCCAAATGCAGACTTGTCGAACTAACGACGAGAGGCTTCTTTTCTTCTTTGAGGAAACTATCTCTGAATTACGACCACAATGGTGCTTAGATATTTGCAAAACTCCGGACCGCAGGTGTCTGATGACGTGATCGACCATCGTTATAACCCTTTCCAGAGGTTGACGTGTTCACCACCACATCATGCGGTTCCTTCGTTTCGCTTTTCTCTCAGCTACTTTTCTATCTTTCTATCTACCAGTGCCATCAGCAATCACCCCATTCCTGTTGTTGCCGTTGCTAGATGACTGATGATGGCACTAGTAGATAGAAAACTGGTTGAGAGAAAGGCGAAACGAAGGAACCGCATGGTGTGGTGGTGAACATGTTAGTCCCCGGAAAGAGTTATAACCAACTTCTATCTTCGTATCAGACACCTGCGGTCCGAAGTTTTGCAAACATCCCAGAATCGTTGTGGTTGTATTTCTCTGCTGTGAAAAATTGTAGTAGGCAGTAAATGAAAAGTTGGCATTATCTCTGAATTCTACTTTTTCGAGCTGCTACTGAGCATTATTTCCACTTTTCCACACAAAAGTTTTCGCGACGATAACTTCGACTCATGTCGAAGAAAGGTTTCTACAGAACACATGTGTGGAAAGTAAGGAGGTCGAATACTCGGGAATACAGGGATACTTGGCAAAATTCCTGGCTTTCTAGTGATGCATAGGTTCTTCATAAACGGAAATTTATATCTTATCAGGTTCCACGATGTGTTGTATGTGCCACATATTTGAAGCTGTTGTCGTTGTAGATGTAAACACTGGAATTACCCAGAAAGCCTTCCATCAGTGTCGGTAATCATTGTATTCCACAACGAAGGATGGACACCGCTACTGAGAACGGTGCATTCTGTGCTTCTTCGATCGCCTCCGAACCTCTTAAAAGAGATTGTGATGGTCGACGATTACTCTGACAAAGGTAATTGAAATCCATCAGCATCCTGTGATTCTTTAAACTACTTTTTACCGCTGTAGTTTAGAACATCTGGAAGATAAATTGGAGAAGTACATTAAGCGATTCAACGGCAAGGTAATTGTTTCTCGTCATTATATTGTGCGATATTAGGAGCGAAGAGATTTTAGTGGTAGTGCATTTGATACTGAGGTCATTATTTTGTTGATTCTTTCCTTGCTCACTAGAAAGAACAAGTTTCATTTAGTGAGAGGGTACGCAAACCCCATTGGTTTTTCACACTACTTTTTAAAGGTAAGACTGGTTCGTACAGATGATCGTGAGGGACTTATTCGAGCTCGAACCATTGGTGCTAAGCATGCTACTGCAGATACTATCATATTTCTTGATGCTCACTGCGAAGTTAACGTGAACTGGTTGCCTCCCCTTCTTGCCCCAATTAAACATAATAGGTAAGTGTAGCTTTCTCCACTTCTTGAGCATGTAAAGTTCTTGCAATGGGCGAGTGTGGCGCAGTGGTCGGAGGCGTCCCACGACACGGAATCGATTCCCGCCTCTGTGGCTCATCAAGCCTTCCATCCATCCAGGGTCGGCAAATTGGTACCAGATTTCTCTGGGAGGATAGCAGCACTGACTCGATACGCCAGTAGGCCACCGCGAGTCATTGTAAGGGCCAAATATGCATTTAATCACCTCCAGCGTTGTCTAATGAAGTCGGATGCGTTGCGCATCTCTCAGGAATTGGTCATCGCCGAGAGGTTTATCGTTTATTTATCCCTTAATGGAAAATATGTTGCTTAGGTTATTTCAATATTATAGACGGGTTATGACAGTACCGGTCATTGATGGCATAGATGCTAATACCTGGGAATATCGAAGTGTTTATGGTGAAGTGGATCGACATTTTAGGTATTGCCTTCCTATATTTTTGTTTCTCTTTTGGTTTTGTAATTATAATTGTTATACCAGTAGTGGTAACAACAGCAAAAGTTCGTTTCTTTTCCATCATCCTTTTTCGCTTGGTCGATTAATCGTAGTAACGCTGTTTTTTTTTGAGAAGTATTAGTCATAGTGGAGAAATCTCTCTCATTTTCACAAAGACAGGCTTGTAGTGAATATTTGGGAAGATGTGGAACGACTGTTTTGCAATTCCTGTGAAAATCTTCTCTACACCACCATTCTACGCATCGTTGGGAATACAAGGCAACATCCGTATACCGCTTCTAAGGTTCGGTAAACCACGGCTTCCTATATGGCAGATTGCTGTCACAATTGTTAAATCATTTTATTGCTGCCTACTTGGATACTTGGAAGGGCCATCCTCACTGGTTGTCCGGACCCCAGTATAATCTCCACTTTTTCGGAGTTTTGATGACTTAGCCATTGTGGTTCCCTGGAGTCCCAAGGTCGGCCTAGCCGAAGTCTGCTCCAGGCCGTCAAAACGACAGGCAGTCGTAACCTTTGTCGATCAGAGGAAGATTTGCCACCATGCGACTAGTTTGACACGATGGTGGTGGTGGATCCTGACATTGGTTTACTCTTAGCTGGGTTGCCTAAGTGAAACGCCGGACTTCATTTCGGCTTGGGAGGTTCAACGGGGATGAATTCCCTAGCTGTACATCGCAGCTCGACACCTAGGAGCACCTTCCAGCAACTATGAGGCGATGAACCGTTGGGAAGCATTATTATTAATTAATCTTTTGATGCTGTTATAATTGAAATTGTATGTAATTATTGTCGTGATCGATTATTGTTCTAGTTGTCATTATTATTGTCATCATTGCTTTTTTATCATCGTTTGCTTATTACTGTTACTAATTGTTATTGTTAACTATCGCCGTCACTCAATATTATCATTATTAGGATCATCGTTACTATATTATCATTATTACTACTACTGTTTTTGGTAGCAGCGGTACTAGCAGCAGTTGTAACTAGTTGAAGTAGTTTAAAAGTAAGAACACAGAGTTATTTGGTAAAATTTTAAGTATACAATTAAGGCGACAGAGCAAAGTAGCCTATAAATCTGCAGTTTTCACAAATTTCCGAATGGTTTTATGACTAAGAAATTATCGTCAGTTGTTAAGAAACAATTTTTAGGGCTGAGAGTTATTAGAGAAACTACCGAGGGTATATAACGGTAATATTGCTCATAACCATAATGATGCTGAGATATTTGCAAAACTCTGGAACGCAGGTGTATGCAATGGGGAAGGAATGCGCTATTACCTCTACCAGGGATAACGCGTTCACCACCACACCATGCGGGTCCGTCATTTCGCGTGTCTCAGCTAGTTTGCTCATTGTTCATTGACATTGATCGCATCCTTCAATTGAACTAGTTGAACATGATGGCATTTCTTTAAGTGGGATCTTTGAATGGGGACTTCTTTATAAAGAAGCACAAATATCAAAAAAAGAAAGGAATTCTCGGAAGCACAACAGCATGCCGTATCGGTACGTATTTTATTCGTTGAAATAGGATTCATTTTCAGTTGTTTGATTGGTACAGATATGTGTTTCAGTTCCCCAACTCATGCAGGAGGCCTTTTCGCCATTGACAGGTTGTGGTTCCATGAACTAGGTTATTATGATGAAGGACTCCAAATTTGGGGAGGAGAACAATACGAACTTAGCTTTAAGGTAGACATTATATAATTCGGTTGAATTTTCCACAACACGTTCTTTTTTTCGAGGTTTTCGTTTTGTTTCGATATAAGTTTGATTAACACATTGAGTATTTTCTTCTCTCTAGATCTGGCAGTGTGGCGGTGGTATACTGTTTGTACCTTGCTCTCATGTTGGTCATGTTTATAGATCGCATATGCCTTATACCTTTGGTAAACTTTCTGGAAAACCGATCATTTCGACAGTAAGCGTTTCATCTATTCAACGTGCCTATTTGGTCTCTATATTCTTGTTGAGCAAACACGAGGTATCATTTTATTCTTTACTCACGAACGAGCTGACGTTTCGGCGGAGTTCGCCTTCCTCAGGCTTTCGCCTTTCGGATCCGGCTTTCCTTTGTCCAACAAGAATATAAAGAACTGTTTGATCAATGCCGAGGTTAATAGATAGTCGGTCGTGAGGATTGCTGTTTGGTCCTATTTGACAGAATTATGTACCACACATACGTTGTGGTTTCGTTAAGGTTGCAGGCCAAGTTATACAGTCTAGTAGCAATATTGCATCACCATGAAATGTTTTTCGTTTAGAATATGTTAAGAGTTGTTAGGACGTGGATGGACGAATACGAGCAATATTACTTCATTCGTGAGCCTCAAGCTCTGCACGTAGATCCGGGAGATTTAAGTGTCCAATTTGCTCTCAAAAAGCGTTTGCATTGTAAATCATTCAAATGGTAAGTCTTTTTATTTCTTTCCCTAGCACATCATTTTTGTACTCCTACATTGCTACAAACGAACGGCAACTGTTCATAAATTGTGAAGAGACATTCGTGGAAAAAGAATCGGTTCGATAACTATGGATTTATTCAGGTATATGGAGAATGTAGCGTATGATGTGTTATCCCATTATCCATTCCCACCAAAAAATAAAGTGTGGGGTGAAGCGCGCAATCATCATACAGGTAAATAGCTTCTTTGTTTTTTCTCTTTTCTAGTAATTCCTGCAACCAGCGAAGCTTTGTTTATATTACACATTTAGTTTAATTTGTTAAGGGAAATGCCTCGATCGGATGGGTGGAATTCCAGGTCCATTAGGTGCAAATGCTTGTCACGGGTTCGGTGGAAACCAGGTAGGTTTTGGAACTCTATCGTTTTAAGATGGTAGACACCTTTCTGGTTTTTTTTTTTGTTAAAGTGGCAAGTTATCCTACAGTCTGCTTCAGTACTTTTTTATGTCTCGCTTCATTGAACAGTATGAAGCGAAATGTTTTTATCTAAATTTAGCTTCTTCGGCTGAATGTAGAGGGCCAACTAACACAGGGAGAATGGTGTTTGACCCCTAAAGGGATCCATGTTCAAGCTAATCATTGTGTCAAAGGCACTGTAAATGGCCCATGGGCTTATGAAGAAGTAAGCACTGCTTTTGTTGAATAATTTCTTCCCACTTTTGTTATTATAAAGGATAAAGTGGTCGGTGTTGATAAATACCTAAGGGATGCGAAATGGATCCGACTGATCGAATGCATATCTGGCCTATACAATGACTCGCGGTGGCTTACCAGTGCTACTATCCCTTCAGACAGATTTGGTACCAATTTGGCGATCCTTGAAGGATGAAAGACTTGGTGAGCCCGGGGCACGGGGATCAATTACATGTTTATTGCAGGGCACCTCTAACCCTGCGCTACACGCTTGTCTTGTTAGTGGTACTAGGCCGAACGCCAAGGTGTCGGTTTTGATTGTATTCGTATAAGCGCGATAGACGGTGCACCCACTACAAATAGTTCACTATTTATGTGCATGTTATGGAGTATGGGTTAACGCGGGGAGCGTGTAGCTCAATAGTCGGAGACGGCGGGCAATACACATAGGAGCGTTACCTGCGCTCGACGTCCACTAATCCCTCTTTCTCTCCGGACTCGGCAATTTAGTACCAGATTTGTCAGCGACGACAACAGCACTGGTTCGATGCATCGATAGATCACCGCGAGTCATTGTAAAGTATATGCATTCAATCACCTCCAACGGTGGTTAATGAAGTCAAATGTATGGCGCGGCCCTCAGACATAGATCAACGCCGACAGCTTCGTACTTTTATTTTTTATCAACTAACATGAGTAATATATTAACGGTGACGTCGAATGTAAAATTGTTCTAAAATAATGCTGAAAAATCTAACAACCTCCAATATAGGGGCGGCTGAGGTAGAATACTATCCCCACACCTCGACTATATATTTGTTCATCTGTTGTCCCATTGACTCGAATGAGCGCAGGCGCAGTCTCCATTTCTCCCTACTGCGTGCAAGAGTAGCTTAGGGGATCCTGTTCACTTTTTGGAACCGCTGAACATAATATTTTTCCTTTGGCCTTGGTAAAAAGTTCTACGATCGCAATGCTGATCTTCTTCCTATGCGCACAGGATGCAATCCTCAACGGCTGTTGTTCACTGGTAGTCAAGGTATCACATATGCAGCCCACTTGACCTTCGATGTTTTCGCGTCTATGGTGTGCGTTTTGCGATTTCTGGCAGTTGCCGTAAGTAGGAAATTCGAATTCCATCCCTCAGTTGCGTGCTTCCGTGATATTCCTTTCATTGCCCTTTGTCACTTCACGTTCAATAACGCAGTCTGATTTCACCCAACGTACACACTTCCAGGTGTTCGACTCATACGTCAAGAACTAAGTAGTGAATTAGGTTGACTTCTCGACTCAGATACACACAGCTGTAGCGTTTAGAGTTTCTCCTTCTGTTAAACGTTAATGGGTCATCAGAAACAAATTCGTATTTCATTAACATTTTTTGTGAGACACTCGAACACCGATCTCTTCATGTCGATATCGATCGTCATAGTCAGCAAAGCGAGGGTAACGTCGCTGTCAGTCATTGTTGAACGTGGTGTAGCTGTGATTTCCCATGTTTTCTTATTCCAGTTTTCTCCTGACGTCTTCGAAGGTGCTAGTAAGCAATCTTAGGAAGAGGCTATCAGTTTGTCGAAGCTCTCTGTCTACGTCAATGTTAATGCTGTTGTACAATAGTGTTGTTCTGGTTGTGAAATTCATGTGTAGATCTCCTTTGTTCAACAACATGTTTTTCCGGCTTTCAGCTCTTTTAGTGATCGTGAACTTTGTACTCTGGCAGATAATATGTGAAGAACCGAGCCGCTGTGTTAATGAGAACTAAGCAAAATTTCTCAAATGTCCGGGTTTTACCTTGTCCAGATCTGACATGTGAACGTTCTTCACAACGGGGACAGCATGTTGGATGTCGAAAGGAGGAACCACTGGGCGACACTTCCATCATCATTAATTTCATATGGAGACAGGACGACATGGCTGCTGAAGAAATCAGAGTAGTTATTGATGATTACGTTTTTTGTCTTTCGGGAGCCTGTGACTGTTCCCTAAGCATCTGTGTGCAGTCTTGGTCTTGTAGTGGCCAAGTTTGGGTAGGCGTTGCTAATGCTTTTTTCATTCTCTGAAGCTTCGACCATTACTGCTGTTCTTCTCTCCTTAAGTTCTTTTTCAGTCTTTCTGCAGTGCTTTCCATGTGTAGACGTGAATTGCCGTTTGACTACGGCGTATAGGAGGTCGCTTGATGTCTTTTGAGCTCCTGGATTTCGTAGCGTTAGCGTGAAGATGTTAGATAATCCGATCGTTCTTTATCGATGTTTTAGATTATGTTGTCTTCCCAAAATCCTGCTGCTGAACTGAAAAATTCTTATTTTTCACGGTTTTGCTATCTCATTTCCTAAATTTGGCTTTCTATGCTTTCTATGGAATGAAAAGGAGTCCTGCGAAGAGGCGATATTTTAACACTTTGTGAAACCCTTGTGCATTATTATGTTGTAGTCATTGAGCAGAACGTGATGGCTGAACGTGAACTTATAGCTTAAGAGAAGAGAACAACTTTTGCGTTTTCGAAAGCGTTTTTTTTTTCAGGATACCGGTCTCATAGTACACAGACATACACGCCAATGCCTCACCGTAGATAAACCGAACCCGGGCGATCTCACCCTAACCCGTTGTGATGCGGAAAACCCGTTACAGAAGTTTGAATGGAAAGAATTCTACCAATAATCACCAACTACTTTTCGTTTGCGATTGCTGAAGTTCTATCGACGTATAATACTGTTTGCACTTATAAAGTTCTCTCGCATTTTTCACACAATTTCTTTATTTCAGAAGTCACAGCTATTGAAATTCAAAAATTAGGCCATTGTAAATGTACTGTCATAATATTTATTTGACGTGTGGTTATTCCATTGGGATGTCTCCGTCCTGAGAGTAGTTCACTTTACTTCAGCTTCTGCTCGTGCTATTGATCATATTTAATAAATGCTGCGTCCATATAATAGGGCAAATGTGACTAATTGTTTTCCATTCTTACGGGAACTTTAACTATAGTCTGATAAAGGGTTTCGAATTTGTACTGTTATCTTTTTGTACTAATTTCATGATTGCTATCTTCTCTGAAGCATATGCACCCTCCATTTCTCTATGCTGAAGTCGAGAAGTACCGTTTTCGATGATCAAGTTACTATTATGCTATTGTTGTTGTTGTATCTTAACACTTATGTTTCGTTATATATTAGATTTGAACAACATCCTCCTTAAGTCGTCGGTTTATTATGTAAATCTTATGACAATAAACGCAATTTGTGGATCCATTATCACGAAAGCTACACATGTTTCCGACTAGATCTCGATCTCCTCTTCCTTACTTTCTTAGATCGATGTTGAAGTGTGTTACGAGCTCTCACTTTAGGTGGATTATCCATGGCTTTGAGAACTTCGAATGAGCATTCCTTAAAAGGTATTTCATACTGAACCGTGGTATAGTATGTTAGTATGTGTGAACGTGATGTCATCCTATGCCTCCCAACGGTTTACAGCCTCATCGTGGATGGGACTTGTTTCCGGGTGTCGTGCTGCGGTGTACAATGGGGTGGATTCATCCTCCCAGCATGGCCTCCCAAACTGAGGACTCCGGCCGGCGTTCCCAACAGGAAGGCTAGCTAAGAGTGAACCAAAACCAGGATCCACCACCGTCCTGGTATCAAACTAGTTGCATGGTGGCAAATATCTCTCTGATTCGCAAGGGCGGTGACGACCAGGCCAGACTTTTACTAGACTGAACTCGGTACTCCAGGGAACCACAATGGTTAGGCCAGCAAAACTCTTAAAAAATTGGACATTATGCTGGGGCCCGCATAACCAGTGAAGACGGGCCATCCAAGTAAGGTGTCGTCCTATTAGATATTACATGAGGCGGGAACTACCAAAGGGTCTGTTGTGCCAGTGTATGGCCGGAATTCTAGAGTAGTCTGGAAGAGCATTTTATTACCACGAACCAAATTATCGTGTACAATCATCACTGCTGCGTTGTTATCGAACTCCCCACAGTATCTGGAAATATTGTTTCTCTTGCTTTGAATATATCAATTCGTCAATGTGTTGTGGACTTCAGCTCTTTTTTATGAACTGACTTGGGAGCGGAGAAAATGGTGACCAGGCGACGATTAGCAAAAAATTCGTAGCCGTCTTGAACTACTTGGTGAGCCCTGTAAAAGAATTACGCGAATGGTGCACTCTGTGAACACAGATTTCCTTTAGTTCCTCTACCTAACGATTAGATCCAAGTCCATCTCTCGACAGAACTTTTTAACGACATCTGGTCCAAACACGTACGATACTCCACGATTGTTCCTTGCCCATCCTTGAGTGTACTGATCAGGGTCCGACCAAAGCAAGTCCTATAAGTGATGCGTGAAATGTTTTATGTGACTGTAATCGATATTTGTCCACAAATCTACTACTACCGACCCAAATGTTCCAACAATTCTAATCTGTTACCAAGGGTGGCACCTAATGGCTTAAATTTGTAAAGTAACAATTTGATGAAATAAGGACAAATAGTTAACCTAAGAACGGAGGAAATTTCCATGAGTATGCGGATTTTTGATTTAGACCATACCATTGCCAGTGGATGCTCATCAGCATCGAGTGGTCTTCTCAAGGCATCCATTTGGGACCAGGAGCTCAGCCGTGGTGAAAGACCGCCATGCATTCCCAGAATGCGACCACTAATCAGTGAACATAGCGGTAATGAGTCGAAGAGATCCTGAGTTGCAAATATTTATGTCGTTTCGAATATATATATATATATACATATATACATAGCGAATAAAAGGGATAAAGCTCTCGGCGTTGATCAGTCTCTGAGCGATGCGCCATTCATTCGACTTCATTAAGCATCGTTTGGAACTGATTGGATGCATATCTGGCCTTTACAATGACTCGCGGTGGTGTACCGATGTATCGACTGCTGCTATTCTCCCAGACAAATCTGGTACCAATTTACTGACCCCGGAGGGATAGAGGGCTTGGTGGGTCATGGGCGTGGATTGATTCCACATGTGTGTTGCAGGGCGCCTCCGAACACTGCGCCACACTCGCCCTACATATATACTTGATACTTGATACTTGAATGGCCCGTCCTCACTGGTTGTGCGGGCCCTAGCATAATCTCCATTTTTTGGAGATTTGCTGGTTAAGACTTTGTGGTTCCCTGGAGTCCCGAAGTCAGCTTGGCCAAAGTCTGCCTTAGGTTCACCACCACGAGCAATCGCAGCCCTTGTGGACCAGAGGGAGATTTACCACCACGCCTCTTTGATACCAGGACGGTGGTGGATCCTGGTGTTGGTTTACTCTTAGCTAGGCTTCTTGATGGTAGCGCCGGACTCCTTCTCAGCTTGGGAGACCCTGCCAGTGGATAAATTCCCCGCTGTACATCACCCAGCCCAAGAACACCTCCCAGCCACGATTAGGCGGTAAACCATTGGGAGGTATATATATATATATATATATATAAAAGGCGCTTTTTGCAAACCTGGAAGATATTGTACAATTTGACGGAGTAGCGGCGCTTACATTCGTCGTAAAACCCATACACCTGAAATCTCTGTGATACTAAAATCATCGAAGGGCATATTTAGCGGTTAAGAAGCAGATTTGATATTTTCCAGCTAGGAGTACGATTAAAGTTCTTGTGTTAGTTTTTCATCATTCGACACATATTAGCTGGAGAGATCTTCCTTGCTTGATTTGAAATCGTTTGAATCTCAGCAATAGGTATAATTCATCTAGCCGGAAGTAATCAATACGCATATTTTTAGCGACCAACTTTGTAAGTACTGAAAGCACTGTGAAAGCGAACGTCCATATGCTTAAAGTCGTATGAGATTAATAGATGTAGGGCACTAATGCTAGTGAAATCAAACCATACATCTTTATCTATACCTCTTTAGAGGTCTTATGAAGCCTCGAATAATTCCGCATTCAAATTTGCTTTTCCGATTAATAGTAGTTCCGATAACCAACCTTGTTGATGATTTTGCATTCATGGTTACCGCGTAGAATAAAAAAACATTCAGGATAAAGAATCTTATAACTGATCAATAGTGTGATCACCTCGAGTTGTTGGCGGCCTCTAGAAATGATTTGATTTCTACACGAGTCAGTCGAGTGATTCTTATCACAAATGTTTTCATATGTGTTCATTTTGTGTATCTACACGCAAGTGTAGCGCAGTGGTTAAAGATGCTTTGCAATACACACATGGTCTAGGGTACCTTCCCGCGCGCTGGGCTAACCAAGTTCTGCTCCATCACTCCGGTGTCGGCAAATTTATACCAGAAAGTTGTTGTATTCGGTGGCCACAAGTGATTTGTATGAGCCAGATATTCATTCAATCATCTCTACGATCATTTGTGGAGTCGCATGCATGGCGCATCTCTAGGTGGTTGACTAACGCCGAACGTTTCATCATGTATCCTTTACATTTGTATGACGAACCTGTCTACATAGTCTCCAAGAAAAAGGTATGAGCGATCGGGTGGATAGCCACATCGGTTGAAAATCCGCAGCAGGTCGGGGTACTGACCGTGGATGTCACCACACACCTAAATCCATGTAATTGTATTCGTCTTAGTGATTTGCCAACTTTGTAGACATCCACAATATGACACTATGGGATTCTCCATTGTATTTATATGCGATAATGAAATGAATAGCAGCTTTCAATTCTGGTGACGAGATTTCTGAACGGTTAAATGTCAATAATGCATGAAGAAGTATAACCATTAATTTATCTTATTCAAAAGTTCCGTGAAAAAACTGAAACTTTACAGTAATAGGAGCTTCAATTTCAAGCATTGTATCCTGCTCAAGTAGAATTTGTGTACACTGTTCTGCCGCTTCACGAATGAGATCTTCCGTGGTGGTAAAAGTTAGGGAAGGATTCGACACATCATTAACTGTAAGTAAAACATTGAGTAATCTGCCAGTAGTACTAGTACTATGGAAGCACTCCTGCCATCAGAACTTTTTCTTGTCTTCTTTTATATTATTGAAAAAAGTAGGAATACTGAAAATGTCTACCTGATAATAAATCGTCTACTAAATGAGCGATTTTTCCGTTGATCATGGCGATATGGCGATTCGCCATTCGCTATGCGTTTAAAACTAACAATGAAGAATGAACTACACATGAATAAATGTGTTGTTATTGTTGATATTATCAGAATTATGGTACGTACAGTGTAATATCTTGAACGAATTCGTTGCTGCTTGTAATAGATTAGCTATATCAGTTATACTGTCTCTACCACAACGATGCTAAGATATTTGCAAAACTGCGAACAGCAGGTGCCTACGGTGGGGAACGAATGCCATTGCCCTTTCCAGGGGCTAACGCGTTCGCCATCACACCATGCGAGTGCTTCATTCCGTCTGTCTCTCAGCTATTCCTATTAATGCCTGCGTTCCCGAGTTTTGCAAATATCTTAGCATTATTGTGGTTGTTTCACACGTAATGCCCTGCCGTGAAAAATTATAATAGGCAGTAAATAAGAAGTTAACATTGTATTGACTCTCTTCCACTTATCATAGACATAGATCATATCATATTCATTCAAGCTGCTGTTCCCTATATATTCTTTGGCATGACAGCTTAGTAGTTTCCTACCATGTGCTGGCACTTAAAGAATAAGGGAAATACCTTATGCAACAATGTCTTTGGGAAATCCATTAACCATTGTTATCATATTCTTGTGGTGTGCTCGATATAGTGTGATGTCCAGCAACCACCAACTCTTTTACAGTGTTTCTCTTTAGAACCTGCCATCTATTCAGCACAGTTGACTTCCGACATTTTGAAAGAATTAGTAGTGAAATATAACTACAATGATGCTGAGATATTTACAAAACTGCAGACCGCAGATGTCTGTCGTGGGGATCGAACCCTGTAATTACTCTTTCCAGGGGATAACGTCTTCACCGCCACACCATGCGGGTCCTACGTTTCGCCTTTCCTCCAGCCGTATATTATAGGCGCCATCAGTAATCACACGTCAACGGGATTGATCAGGGGAGCATAAATCGGCATTGAACTCAGTTAAGCTGAAGCTGTAGTGTTTATCATTAGCTCCTATAAATTATCAGTTTTCGTGATTTTGTATTGTTGAGATAGATCAGAGCTACAGATTCTTTTTCTTCATTATGTAAAACCAAATATCCCTAGTGTCATTTTCTTCACAGTGTATTCGATGACGGTTATTGCATTATCATCCTATCTACGCAGCCTTTTGGTTTATCACATATTTATCACATATTCACCTGTCACTTGTATCAGCTATCATCCCATTGATCGTCGAATGACTCGAACGGGCATCAGAAAATCTTTCATTTCTCACTATTCCGTGCAAGAGTAGTCCAGTGGATTCTGCTCGCTCTTGGAACTCGTTGAGCATCATAACTTTCTTTTATGGTTTTCATGGAGAACTCTAACCATCGCATCGGTTATTTTTCTGGTGTAAGATTGACGTACCGAGGAACCCAGTCACTAACAACTTTTGTTTATCGATCATCTTTCGTAGCATTTCGTGTCCTGCCCATTTTATCTTCGACAGTTTGGCATAGAACGGCGTCTTTTATTTCTCATCGTTGACGTAGGTCAGTGGTTCTCGCATCCCTTCCGTCATTTTTTTTGGCACAAGATACTCCTAGCATCGTCATTTCGAGTGCGCTATTCAATAACGCTGAGTAATCTTTCATCCAACACAGAGATGAGGTTTCTGATGCATACGTTAAGGGAGGAAGAATCATGAAATCAAGAAGGCGAGTATAGAGTCAGGTGTTCTTGATTTTCTCCTTATTACATCCCGATGCTCTTGAAAACTCTCCAAGCCGCTCGTTCCCTCCTGCTCAACTCTGGTGTTAAGTCGCTCATCATGTTGATTTTCGAACTAGGTAGACGTAACTGGAACATTCGGAAATACTTGTACCGTTGAACGTGAATGGGATGTACGAAACTAATCAATTCCTCATGAACATTGTTTTTATGAGATTTAGACAAAGACCAGTCAGATCTGCAGAACTTTTCCAAATCCACGCAGAACATTTCTACTTCATTTTCGTCATGGTTTGATGTCGGCGCGTAGACGACGAAGGTTTTCACACCCGGTCTTGATCCACATCTTCTCCACCCTAGTCGTCCGATTCGGTTTGTTAGCTGTTCGAATAAATCGATGTTCGTGGCCGCCATGTTCTGACGTGTAGTTCTTCTCCGGTGTCGTTGACAACGTTGAATGGGTGGCGCCTTGTTGTCTCATCCAGTCCGATGGAGTCGTAGTTTATCTTTTCTGCCTTCATGATAAAGTCTTATATCGAGGTCTCAGATGCAAGTGTGCGTGCATTGCAACTACAGATCTTCACCTTAGTCCTTTGTGATCTAGTCGGCCAAAAGTGGCGCTGAAATTTTAGCAGCCTCTCCGTACTCGTCCTACCCAACGCTGTCGAATTGGGGATTCTTTTGGAGTCGGGGTAACAAGGCCCGTTTTTTTTTTACTGCGTCTAACTTTTTGTTAACCACGTATAGCCTACTAACTTGCTGAGCGCTGAACGTGGGACTGGGTATGCTCACGGGTAGCTTGCCAGTCCCTGGCAGAGTAGGCATGGGGCTTATTTATTGGAGGCGACTCCTAACCGCGTGCCATACACTTCTCTGTTACTTGATTCCTGGCTTTTATCCGTACTGACTCGTAGAAAACAATCCGCATAAAAGAGAACACACTCACGCACGCATTCTCAAATGCGTCTTCGCAAACCCAGAAAGCATGTGCCAGATCGGAGCGTCAGAACCAGGGAGCCTATCTCGTGGATCCATCCGCGTCTCAGGGAAGGAAATTTCGCTTTTGGTCTGCGATTAACCCCCCATCCGCCACCTAGGGACGCGCTACGTTGCTTCGCGACTAACCGTTAGGAGATCTTTTTGTGTGGGAGATCAGTGCTCTCATTTGTTGGAGCAGAAAAAAAAACTATGAGATCAGAGATGTGTTGTCCTTTTCACTACATTTCCGATGGATGCACTAAGCTACTCCTTGCTTCTGCTCGGTTCTTGAGCTAAGACGATCATCATGCTAACTTTCCTACAATAACACCTACACCTATCCATAGCTCAAGAATTCAGAGAGATTCGTTTCATTAGATGTAAATGGCGGAATTGAAAATTAATGCATCTCTCGTGGACATTGTTTTTCTTAGGTTTAACCATAGATTATAGTTGAATAGGCGACCGGGTTGGAGATGCTACAAGATCATCGGACATGTAGTAATGATAAGGATTTAAACCTTGACTCCACTTATCTTTCTAGACTTCACTGTCGTTTTCCGTCTGAACTTGCTGGTAGGAAACTTCTACAAATAGGGATCGACCTATCTTTCACTCCATATTCAATGAAACGAATCCATGGTTGAACTACAACCGATTTTTCGGACTTCGTCGAATTAACAGAGCATGAATAAAAGAAACTCGTTGTTTACCAGTCTGATATCCAGATCTCTTTGCTGTTATCTATAGTCTAAACGATTTTAGGAAGACGGCATTGTTCATTTACACAAAGTTCGTCTTCATGTATGGATGCAAGTTAGATCGGGTCGACTTCTCGTTCAAATAGCCATACTCGTGTAAGGGACTTCTTTATACTGATCGGAAAATCTCAGTTTTATTTAGTGAATGAAGTTATTTTAGTGTTTACATGTGTTTTGCATTTCCTCCTCCAAGCTCCAATTCATCCAATACTTCTATAAGCTCTGGTATGTTCTCTATACACATTAACAAGTTCCGTTTACTTTTCATCACATACATTTCAGATGACAACATCACAGCGTTAATTACTAGCATCGAAGACTTAAGCATCTATCAGGACACTCCAGTTCCCATCATGAATGAAATATCCAAAAAAAACGAAATAACAAATGAAAGCGCTCACAGCAATAAACTAGTTATAAGTCACGTATTGAGCAAGTGGATTGCAGAATATGGGATAGAGGTTAGTGATAAATCATATATATATATATATATGTGTTTATATGTATGCATATATATACATATCATAAATCATACATATATATATACATGCTGGCCCGAGTGCGTGTGTGTATCGTGTGCTTTTTTGTGCGTCCGTGCGTGTGTGTGTGTGTGTATTGTGTTCGTGAATATGTGTGTGTGGTGTGTGTGTGGTGTGTGTGTGTGTGTGTGTGTGTGTGTGTGGTGTGTGTGTGGTGTGTGTGGTTGTGTGTTTGAGCGTGTGCGAGTTAATATGTGGAGAAAGGTCGCGGTTTCTGTCGTTGATATCTGATGAGCCTTACTTTTTCTTAGATATGTAAAAAAGATAACGGCATGTACAGCACAGTGATTAGAGGTGGCTTGCAGCGTCATTTTTCCACCAGAAGTAATTCTATAGGTCATATATGTATTCAAACACCTACAACGATGCTTGATGAAGTCGAAAGAATGGCCATCTCACAGGATTGGTCAACTCTGGGAGCTTTTTCTTTTGGTGACGATGAGGTTTCTATTATCCTCTCAAAACCATTCTTGTGTTCCCAAATGGTGAAAATGTTAGAAAAGTGGATGGACCTTATTCTCCAAATCACGAACATTTCGCGCTCAGAGGTAACATTTTATTCACTGATTAATAGCTCTGTGCGCCAAGCATAAAAAACCTCCGTGTTTATGACTGATTAAAATTTCGTTTTAACCCTTACGCGACTACACATGGCTTCTATAGGAGTCATAGGATACAAGAATAATAGCCGCTTTCAACTTTAAATCAGCATACCGCAGCTTATAATGAATTTTTTGATTTCAATAAAACAGTTTAGAATCTTCAAATTCTTGCTTACAAGATAGAATCCTCTGTTGCCTTATCATAACGTAATCCGGTTTTCTGGAGCTCACAACACATGTTTCTTTTTCTTCCTTCATAGCTCATATTTCGAAAATGAAAGCAAATGAACAGGCGGAATTTAGTCTAACAGTACAGGCTGATGTTCCCCAGTGTACTGTTCATTCTCGCAATTTTCGCAAATTTGAAGACATCTGAACTTCGTTCTCAGTTTCTGAAAACGCTGATTCTAAACACGTTTGTTCTAAAAGAAAGTGGATAAAAATTAGATACGTAATTACTGCGATAGACCAAAGTTTCTTCCATGAATGTACAAAGCTCTGAACTCCTGAGTTACTTTAATTGGTCGAGGAATTATCGTTATCTATTGAAAAACCAGTTTTGTCGCCAAAGAGTTAACCATATACAGGTGGTTTTTAATTGGTCACTTCTGGAAAAAAGAGCGAGTAACATAATATGTCTAAAAAGTTGCAGAGAGGAATAATGGTGAGGAAGGATATAAATACGTCCATCGTAGAACAAGGAGAAATAGATGATCACTGCACATTTGATAAGGGAATTCACGAAGTGGATGTACCTAGACCGAAGTTGTACAAAACTGCTTGCTGAGAGAATCTGTAAACATTAGAGCACTGCAATTGGTGTAGATTTTGGTAGTGTATAGTGTTGTCCGTTACCGCATCTTAGATGATTACAAGGTCCAGTTCTGTATTTAAGAGGTTACATTATGCTTATTGTGCTGAATGGAACAATAGTGTATAAGCGTAACGCGTTGAATAAAAAAGGATAAAGCTCTCGGTGTTGATCAATCCTTGAGGGATGCGCCGTGCATTCGACTTCATTAAGCATCGTTGGAAGTGATTGAATGGATATCTGGCCTTTACAATGAATCGCGGTGGCCTACCGATGTATCGAGCCAATACTGCTATCCTCCAAACAAGTCTGGTACCAGTTTGCCGACCGTGGAGAGATGGAAAAGTTGGTGAACCACCGGCGTGGGAACCGATCCCATGTGTGCATCGCGGAGCGCTTCTGACCACTGCGCCACGCGCTCCCTTCAAAGCGTTAAATGTTGATTAATCCCTGAAGAGGTTAAAGGAAATTCGGTGCTGGTATTTGCTGCGTGAATCCTCGAAGGGGTTTATCCTGAATTCAACCCCATTCGTAGCAATAATAGAGGTCGAGTATGTATCTGGTCTTTACAATGATTTTCAGATATCATCGGCGTACTAGTTCGCTAGTTTTATCCTAGTAGACAAACCTGATATAAATTTGCAGACTGCAGAGAGAGGGTGGGTTTAGGTGTGCGTAAGGTCGAACCCAACTTTGCTCTTTTTTGTCGCTGGGCTCCTAGCTACTGCGGTGCATGCGTCTCGGCAGTAATACTAGTTGGTACTAATCCAAGTTCGTAATGTAAGAATACAACGAGAGAACTTTTTGACAGTGGTTGATTTCAGTCAGTATTTTTGCCAGTGCGAATTCAACAAGAGATTTCCGATCAGCTTCGTCTTGTAAAGGTGTTTGCCGTACTAAATTGTTCTCATTTCTATTCAACACGCCCTATAAGACGTAGTAATAGTTCTATATTTAGAGATTCCGACAGGCAATCGTGCAAAAACGGAAACCGCATAGGTTTCGGGGTCTCTTAATAAACGTAAGATGTTTTTTTTAATTAGTAGTAGATTTCGCCTTCTATTGATATGTACGTAAAACATCCGAATTCTATTTCTAACTGAGAGTTTTCAGAACATTTTTGATGTTGTACTGTTGGCAGTATTCCTTGTGATGATCATCGTTACCATGTCCACGTTATGGATTCGTAGACAACGTAGCCTCGATTTTGTTCGAAGTGCTACCATTCACTATAAACGTGAAGTAGCATCTGACTCTAATTCTGAACTGTCCACGGCAAAGGTTTGAGTTTTGCACTTTTTTCCTGCAAATGAAGAAAACGACGTTTGATCTATGCATCTTTTTTATTTATCGTACTATCTCTAGCCCGAAATATTTTCGGAGTTTATTATTCTATTCGCCTTACTAACGAATTTTAATTACTTGGATACCCCGACGAGCCGTCCTCGCTGGTTGCGCGGGCCCCAACATATTCCCCAGTTTTCGGAGTCGGGTTTTGCCATTGTTTTCCCGGTGTCCCGAGTTTCAGCCTGGCCAAAGTCTGCCCCGGGTCGTCACCACGACAGGCAGTCTCAGCCGTTGTGGATCAGGAGATTTGCTACTATTCGACTAGTTCGATACCAGGACGGTGGTGGATCCTGGTGTTAGTTTAATGTTAGCTGAGTTCCTGTTGGGAACGCCAGACTCAGCTTGAGTGGTCCTGCTGGGAGATGGATCGCCTCGCTGCGCATCGCATCCCGCCACACAAGGACACCTCCCACCCACGATGAGGCGGTAAACCGTTGGGAACAAATTTTACGTGTCACAATCATTTAAATATCTCTTTTTATGAATAACTAGTTCTTTTCTTGGTTTGAGAACTTTTTTTAGGGTTTATTAAGAGAACTTGCACGTCAGGAAGGAAATTACGATCGCGGAAGGTTGAAGGTACTGTTTCGATTAGCTTCTCCAGCATCTTTAAGAAGAATCTCACGATTAGTCTTGCGAAATACTTCCCGGTTTCAACCGATGACCTGTTGCACAGTTTTTTCTTTCTAAGCAAAATAGACCAAAAAGTGAAGTCTGGTCTTTCCTGGCGATTGATGAGCTATTTTAGTGATTGAAGCTGTTTTCTACCTTCGAGTGCTTGGTCTCGATGTGATTTAAAAAACTAGTGTGCTCCAGATTTCCCAGGATACTGCATAAATGGGTTATCTATAGTTTCTAATGGATGGGATGAGAATTTCTAGCGTGATTCTGTAATGAATATCAAAATCTTCAAGAAAGTGGTAACACACCATAGGCAAATATTTGATGATAGTATTATAAAACTAGAATCGAGGCGCATATAGCGGAGTGATTAAAGGCGTCATGCATTAAACGTGGGATCAAACCCTACCCCCAAGCTCACCAAGACGTGCATCCCTATGTGGTCGACAGATTGGTACCAGACTTGTCTTCGAGGATAGCAGAACTGCCTCTACACATCGATAGGCTACCGCGAGTCATTGTAAACGTCAGATATGCATTCAGTCACCTCTAACGATAGGTTAACTAGATTAGTAGGTACCTATAAGCTAAAATACGGCTGAGAGAAAGGCGAAGTGAAGGACCGGAATGAAGTGGTGGTGAACACGTTAGCCCCCGAAAAGGATAATAGCGAATTCGATCCACTCCGTAAACACCTGCGGTCCGGAGTTTTGCAAATATCTCAGCATCATTGTGGTTATATTTCACATCATGCCTTGCCGTGAAAAGAAGATAAAAAAGCCCTAAAGGATAAAGCTCTCGGCGTCGATCAGTTCCTGAGGAATGCGCCATGCTTTCAACTTCATTAAGTATCGTTGGAGGTGATTGAATGCATATCTGGCCTTTACAATGACTCGCGGTAGCCTATCGATGTATCGAGCCAATGCTGCCATCCTCCCACACAAGTCTGGTACCAATTTGCCGACCTCGGAAGGGTGGAAGGTTTGGTGGGCCATGGGCGCGTGGATCGATTCCACGTGTGTCGCAGTGGCGCCTCCAACTACTGCGCCACACAAACACCTGTGAAAAAAAAGAATAGGCATTAAATAAAAAGCGGCTATATTTTGATTTGTACTGTGGCTTCAGCTTAACTTGGTTCAATGCTGATTTATGCTCCCCAGATCAATTTTGTTGACGGGTGATTGCGGCTAGCACCTATAGGCCAAAACACGTCTAGCGATGTTTGTTGAAGTAGGAAGCATGGCTCATCCTTCAAGAATTGATCACTGCTGAGAGCTTAGTTCTTTTTGTCCTTTTATTATAAAACTATTTTCTCCTGAGGAATAAAAGCCGTGTATTGTGCATGTCTTTTCGATTCGCCACTTAATCAACATGACGTGAAACCCGATCGAGACCTTTTTACTTCGCTTTGCTATAGTTAGGCGTAGGCAGACTTCCTAGGAAAGTGGTGGTGTACGAAGGCGATTCTCCTCAAAACTTCTTTTTGTCGGGATCTGCATCTTTTGAGTAGAACATTAAAAGTTTTCAATGGTTTTCAATTTCAATAAATGTTTCTATTTGTCAGAAATACGAATGCAAAAAGAATACGTTCTCTATCCACCTCGTGTATGCTTCCCGGCGTTCTTCTAGAACTTTATGCAGACATCCTCACTGAGAGATGAAAGAATATCTGAACGAAAAAATAGAGAGGAGAACGTTGTATGGTGGTGCAGAACCTATTTGCAATCCAGATAATCTGTTAGTTAGCATTACAAACGATTCGGGCTAAAATGCTTCAAGATTCTTTTGGCATTTGCTTAATTTACAGTGAACATAATGTTAAAGCTTGAACTTCGACTTTCATAAAACTTGGGCAATAATAACCAATGTTTTATTATGTTATTAGAGCTAGCACAAGTCGGTTACAAAACGTTTATTGAGGTTCGGGGTCTTCATCTTCTCCAGGCCAGCCGTGATCCGAGTCAGTTGCCCACGACCGGTCGGTGTCGCCATATGGATCTTCGTAGTGCCATCTAATCAGCGCTTCTGGATTGGAGCATAACTGGAGTGAAGCACCTCATTCGTAAAATACGAAAGGTTTAAGTCTCCAGCCCTGATTTGTCTCCGAGGATTTGCCCCACGCATTTTACTTCATCTAGCATCATAGAGGGAATTTAATGCATATCCGGGCTTTATAATGACTTGCGGTAGCTCGTATTGAGTTAGTATCACTATTCTTCGGTATAATTTTTGTTGGTATTAATTTGCCAGCCTGAGGTGGATGGAGGGTTTGTTGAGCTCCGGGTGCGGGATCGAACCAGAGTCCAGTGCCCATCGATGGAACCCTCAAACGCAGTATATATATACATATATATATATATATATGTATATATATATATGTATATATATATATATATATATACCTACACATGTTGGTATGACCGACTAAATTTCAACTATGATCCCTGAAAATCTGCCTTTCTCATATAAACAAGGTTATTTTTCAGGAGCTCAACAATGTGTTTAGTAGATTAGGAACTTCGGCTCCACTCCAGACACCCGAACTATGCTTTCCAGACGACTTTAGTCCAGTTAATATGGTAGGATTACTGTAAATTTAGCATCCATTTACAAAAATCGTAAATCCCTTTTTCTTTCAGAACCAGAATATACCGTGTGTACGTATCAAATTGCTTACTCCGGAAGAAATCGCTCGAGAAGAGTTTTAGTCGTTGTTTTTTTACAATACTTAATCAACATATACATGTCGAATAATTGCACAATTGATTGAACTCTTTCAATGTTCCAGATTAATAAACGTTTTGTATCATAGTAATATTATTTAGGACGGAATAAAACTTTTATAAAATGATAGGCGGAATTCGAGGATGTAAGTCCCCTACTGATTGATTTCGCTCGAAGATCAACACTCATGAAGCACATTCATGCTTTCCATGTTGTTTGTTTGAATAATTGAATTTTTAGAGGAAAGAAACTTTCAAACCCAACGGTTTGCCGCTTCATCGTGGCTGAGAGGTGTTCCTGGGTGTCTGGCTTCGATGTACAGCGGGGTGATTCATCCCCTCAGCAGGGGGCCTCCCAAGCTGAAAATGAGTCCGGCGTTCCTATCAGGAAGCCCAGCTTAGAGTAAACCAATACCGGAATTCAACATCGTTCTGGTATCAAACTAGTCGCATAGCTGCAAATCTTCCTCTGATCCATAAGGACTGAGATTGCCTGTAGTGGTAACGATCTGGAGCAGACTTTGGCAAGGCGGACCTTGGGACTCCAGGGAACCACAATGGCTAGACCGAGTTCCGAAAAATTGGAAATTATGCTACGGTCAGTGAAAATGGTGAAGACGGCCCATCCAAATATCCAAGTAAATAAGTACTATGCTTCGTTTGTTGAGGACGTGCGTTCTTCATCGTAAATACTAACAGCTCTAAATACGTGGTGCCGTCTACTTGCTGGTCTTATGACCACCATAAGGTAGAAAATCGTGGTACTTTACTCATTCCTGGTTATTTGTAAAGAATGAAGCCATTGGCTCGTTTTGAGTATATCTCATAATGATTATTGCCACAAATAACCTTAAGGAACATCCCGAATAAAAGCTACCGACAAACAGCCATTCATTTTTTATTATTTTAAGCTGATAAAGTATGTCTTTTTATTATCACTGAAGTCGAATCCATTAATTATGAGTCGCTATCGTCACCCTGAAAAGTAAAGATATATTTTTTCGTTCGGAATTTAGGTAAAATTATACTACTCAGCATAACTAATGCTATCACCTCCTAACGGTCTACCGTGGGTGAGAGGTGTTCCTGGGTGTACGGTTGCGATGTACGGGGGCAGGATTCGTCCCTTCGGTAGGGTCTCTCAAACTGAGGAGGAGTTCAGCGTTTCCATCGAGAAGCGTAGTTAAGAGTAAACCAATACCGGGGTCCACCACCGTCCTGGTATCAAAGTTTCATGGTGGCAAATCTCTCTCTGATCTACAAGGCTGGCGACTGCCGGTGATGGTGACGACCTCCTGGGGCAGACTTTGTCCAAGCTTGCCTTGAGACTTCAGGGAAACGCAATGGTTTGATCAGCAAAGCTCCGAAAAGACGAAATTTATGCTGGGGTCCGCACGACCAGCGAGGACGGGCCATCCAACTATCCCAGTATCCAAGTTGTTAATTCTATCACAGTGATTCAGATTCCATTTGAATATATAAATGGCCTATTTTCATGAAACATAAGGAAAAATGGGGCTCCAGAAATTAAACAGTAGTTGGCTATGGAGTGTCAAAATTCTGTTAACCGTTTCCGCAGATCGCCACAACTGGTCAGATAGTGGCGATGGATTTAGCAGCACGAAGGACACTAGTTGCTGAGCTTCTGGGTGGAAATGTCGGACTCCTTCCCAAGTTAGGAGACTTTGTCGTCATGGGATGAACCATCACTATGAGAACCATCAATAGTACCCTTCAAATTTATCGATGGACTTTACTCGTTGGCAATATTTCAGACTTACTTCATCTACAACACACGATTCATCTGACTTCAATGGCGGAATCGGCTTGTTGTTGAACCTGATAGGAGCTGGCCGCTGAAATCAAAATCCCACAGAAGGTAGAAGATCTTTCATAGGAAAATTTCTAATAGGAAGCTTCCAATGATAACCCTTTGTAAAGAACGGATAACGCAGATGTCGCCCATTCGCTAACGACTCACAACCTACCCATGCGCTGGTTCGAAGACTGTCCAGACCTACCATGCCCCTCAACCCTCCGATGTGGCGAAATTGATACGAGACTTGTGCGGAACAAGCTGAATTACTCTAACTCACTTGGAAACGCCCTAGCACGGGTATCTCAGGATTCCAGCGAGAATCGACTCAACCAGCATTCAACGACTGGAAGAAGTGGTGGGATCCACACAGTGCGATACTATGCGATTTCTGGTCATGTAATAAAATAAATAACCCTCCTACACTCATAATTGTGTGGTGTTCACAAGCGTTTTAGAAAACGCATAGTTTTTCTCTGACATGCTACACAAGACCTACATGCTCAATTAAAAAGCAGACATTAATTGCCGACGTTAGAACACACGATACGGAGCGAATCATTATGATATAGTGGCAGTAGAAATCAATAACTCGGGAACTTGATAACCGAGAAAAACGAGGGTCAAATGTTCCTCATCATGCTTGTATTCATGTCGTAGTCTATATACCAAAGATATGGCGAGAAATAAGCTGCTAAACGCCAACGTTAATAAAAAGTTTGTTCTACGAAATGAGAATTCACTTCTACTTATTGTACGTGGAGGCAATTCTCTACCTGGCTGAGAATACATTATATTCCCACCAATACCTCACAGTAAGCAGACTCGAAAAGATAGCGCATGTTCCTGCTCACAAAATTGAAGCTGCTCAGACCGTTTTCTTGTGTCCGCGTTCTATTATTATACCCGAATTGGCTCCTTTGTGAGAACAACACATTTCTTCTGGTGAAATTTGCGTACTGAATCGCTCCTTCAAGTTGCACCACCTGCGAAAGTTGAAGCTTCGTAGCATTAACTCTGCCCACTCCAATACGAATAGGAGCTATAGCAAACCGTCCACTGGGTTGCATATTATTACAGTTTCTTTGATTATCCACTTGATTGAATATTCCAATGATACGAACAGTATTAACCTGTTACAATCACCGACGCATTAAGATTATTCTTTATTATTATATAAACCTACTACAGCTACACGCGAAAACTTCTTGAGGCTTTTTGGATTAATGCCAAAAACCCTACAATGAATAGCAGGGACGAATGCCCGGAGGTCATACGCGACCTGATCCCGTACGTTCGCATCGATTTTTGATCTGGGATGGTGCAGTCGTCAACCACATGCGACTATAATCAGCTGTTCTAAACTTCCTCATTGGAAGTCACGAAAAAGCGGTGGGTTTTTCGAGAAGTTGTTGATCATGTAATTACCAAAGAGTCTCTCGTTTTTGTGTAAGTGTTATTGAAGCGTTTGGCCTAGTAGATTGTATATCAGTATACCCTTCCAGACTCTGAAGAAGGCGATTCTGCCGAGACGTCAGCTAGCGTTGTATTGTATTGTGTTTTTTTATGGAAGTAAATGTATGCTGTTTAAAAACCTCGCGATTGCTGAACAAGAAAACGACGCATTCATATTCCAATGCCGAGGTTAAGAGAAAGTCGATCCTGGGAACCTACTACAGCTGTTAATCTGGCTAAGCTGTTGTCATATTGTTTTACCCTCTAAAAAGTTCGGTTATCAAAGTATGAGGTTCACTTGCCAGCAACCAAAAAAAGATCGAGTAAAGAACCATAAGAAGATTAGAATTCTCTACCTAACTGGGTGCCATGAAACGCTCTGTTGGTCTGATCATATAAAGGAACATATCCGACTCAACTAGCTAATACGCAGCCGGTGAAAATTTCCAGAGAAGATTCAACAACATGCTTGATCTTATCTATCATCACAACACAATAGAACTACCTTTCGTAATTCTTCAAAATAGTCATGTTGAAGTAGTTCAGCTGCTGGTTTACGTTTTTTCGGATCATAGACGAGGACAGCTTGAAGTAAAGAAAGCGCTTTTTTACTAAATCCAAGGCCAATATACTGAAAACAATATCATATATTTGCGTAAGAAGTATATCCTATGCAGCGTTATAAAATGAATAGAAGACGATAGCAACAGATTTCAAATTGGATACATACTCACTTTCTCGAGACCACGAGCTGTGGATCTATGAACTCGGGGACGACGGCATGACATCGCTTTAATGTCCTCCGAAGTAGGATAACCTAATACGTCCACAATAATTCTCATCTAAATCACTATTGCTTTATATTGTTACTTTGTCAGGTATGAATTTTATGGTTTCTCAGTCTTGCAAGAAGAATAGGCATCAAAGTTTCGAACCTGATTTTCTGAATCTTTTCCTTTAAATAAAGTTCTTGTACAGATGAAATCGTAAGTAACACATGCAGCTGACCACACGTCTAGGAATACAACATTAACTGACGAAGACGTGATAGAATAAAAAGATACGTCGGGCATCAAATCGTAGTAAAGTCTGCCAGACGGGAGCATGATAGATACTAGATACAGACACTACTAGATACAGTTGCTACTAGACACTACTAGATACAGTTGCTTCGACACTATTGCAGTATTTCCATTTAAAAATTTCCTATCCCCTGGTCCAATAGCGTCGACTGATTGACCTGCGCTGATAATCTGGAAGCGCTCTAGTCCGGCTGCAAATTAGGATGCTAGGAAAAAATCCGGTCTAAATAGGAAAATATACCAGTCTAATAGAAACCATGCTGAAGCCCACATGGTTTGTGACAACAAGGAGTTAAAGTCTTTGAAAAACTTTATAAAGACAAGTATAGTGAAGCAGTCAGCAATGATATCGTGTTTATAAACGGTATGTTTCTCAGAGTCGCTCCAGTAGTGAGTTGGGTACAGATGGTTCGAACCTTCCGGGTCGGCAAATTGCTACTAGACTAATCTGTGTATAAAAACATTGACTTGGACATCAATACGCCACCATGATTCATTGTATGGGAAAAACATGCGTTTAATCACTCCTACGACCCTTAGAATGGTTCAAATTCATGGCGCGATCCGAAGGGACTGATCAGCGCCGGACGTTTCATCTCGCGTACTTTATTATTGCTGCGAATCCAGTAAATACAATGAAGACATCTACAAACCTATCGCAGGTGTTAACGTAGTGCTTCCAAACAATAATTCGGGTGGACGATAATATCTGGTCACCTGGAACAACGAAATAGCTTCTATCCTGCTTATTCCCCTTACAATTTTCGAAATGACTCAAACAGAAATTTTCTCAATATTCGAAAAAAAAAGACTGCTACTTCTGATATCATCTTCTTCACACACCTGGTATGAATTTGCTGTTGTCGAGCCAAAAAGTACAGCGTTACCAAAATCGGCCAATTTCAAAATTCCGTCCTAAAAGTTCTTTCAGATCTTCCTCCTGTAGTAAGAACCCATTCGAGGTTCATAAGAACTAAATTCGTGATTCACCTCATGATTCACCACTAGATTAGACGGTTTAATATCGAGATGAATAACTTTACAGACGCTAAGAAATGCGACTGCCGAAAACAGCTGATATGAGTATAACTAAAATATTCAGTTCATTTTTTTCTACAACTCTTGTCTTCTAGAAAAGCTTTCCCGCTTTTTCAAGAGGAAAATGTTCTAGAAAATCTTTTACTAGAACAATAGAGCAACATGTATGGTAATTCACAAACAAATGCATAGTTACCAATATGAACAAACGGCCACTAGCAAATTACCACGTGAAACTTTTGATCTGGACTGTCATCCAAGCTCAGGCAGAAAACAATGAAAACCATGTCAGTCGATCAATAGTCGCTCAACAAAATACCATTGTACAAAGCTGTGCAAATAATATGACGCCCAAACAAATGGTGATCAAGGCGGAAGACAATGATGACTCTGATGAAGATGAGTTGTACGAACTTCGACAACCTCAACACCTATTAATAACTGATACTCGACGTGATGCTCGTAATATGAACATCTATGTGGTGTGCACCGCTAGTCAAAACTCGACGCCAAATTGATCAATATTTATTATTTCCATTATGCGCGTAGAGCATGCATATAGGAACCTCTGCGACATTTTCCGTAATGCTTGCAAAATAGAAAAGTTAAAGCGTTCAGACTTAAATTAGCCGATAGATTGGTATAGATTGTGTTAAGACATTATTCAACCATGACCTGTTGCTGCACTTATGGCGAAGTTCGTAGAGAACTGGAAAGTTGACTGCTGGGACTTGAGGGATGTCACCAAACACTATTTTGAGTCCAATTCTATAGTAAAAGCTCTGTTTGCATACTGTTTTCAGCGATTCAAATCACTACATCTGTTACTAACCTGAGCATCTAATGTGTCAAATTTTATGCCCTTCTCTCTTAATCTTTGCACATCATCAGGAAGATAGTCCAGTACAAGGCAATGAATAGTCTGAAACCCAAAGTGATAGGCCACGAAGACTTCAGCGAGATTAAGTTTTTTTAACGATCGATTATTCAAACAGATTAGAAAATATTGTATGTGCTCTTTGATGATTATGTATAAAACAATCTACTGAAGCACCTCATTGTCTATTTTTCTGGTGAAATAGTATAAAAGTGTGACAATATTTCGATGCGGTGGAATCTTCGAAAGCACTTCAACTTCAGGGTAAACTTGATCCTTGGCGATAGCAATATTTTTCGGTTCCCTATAAGAAAAATTGAAATATTACTATAAAAGCACATGAAACACAAGTCATTCCTATGAATGACAACACCCTAGAAATTATGTATTTATTAATATGCCTGTTTAAACGCTGAAAGTAAAAACCACCATATTCATGAAGGTGACATAACAAACAGCATGGCCTTCTTTCTAAAAACTTCTACAAAGATCATCAACAGAAGATCTTCTGTCTTCTATTGTTCTTAAAAAGGTTTGAGCCTAGAGAGAAAGTTTACGGCGAATTTGTGATGAAGGATGTAGAAGGACGACGCGTTCTGCTTTGACCAATCCTTTAGCGATGCCCCATACATCTAACTCCACTGGTAGCATAGTAGAAGTTACTTATTGCATGTCTGGCCTATACAATGATTTTCGACAACCTAGCCATGCAATCCTGTCAGTGCTTCTATCCTCTCAGAAAAGTATAGTACTATTTTACCTGCCGTAGGCGCGTTAAAGATTTTGTTTGGCCAGTACGCAGAGTCGAACGAAAGACTAGGAAGGTATTGCACAGCACCTTAGGCACTACGCTCACCTTTCTTAACATATCCGTAACATGCTAGCTTTTGCTTTTTTCATTAAATGAACTATATATGCCATCAAAAAATCGCCAGTAGACGTTAATTCGCAGCGCTAGTTAATAAATGTAAACATTTGTCAGAGTTGTCCCATACGAACCACATTATCACCGACCACGAATTTTTAATGGCAATTTTACGTTGTTCCGGTAGAATCAAATCTGCCACGTAGACATTCGAAAATCGACCGTTACCACATACACGTTCACCTAAAATCAACAACTACACTTCTACCCGCCCTACATCGTGTAAATCTACGTGCACTAATGAACAGCTGTATACTCGTGGAACTTAAATAAATTAGAATGTATTATATGCACACCCTCAGTCTCAAAATAGTTAAACACTTTCAGCAGACATATTTTTCCCTTCAGTTTCTTCCCTCTTGTTCTCGGCTACGAACCATCTTGTTCATCTAATTAGACATAACACTTAATAGAGAATACAACCTGATGCTGATATATTCGCAAAACCTGGACCCCTCGTCAGTTCGAACCACGATTACCTTTTCTCGGGGTTTGCGTATTACACACTGCACCACAGGTCCTTGCCTTGCGTTTCACTCAGCTAGTTTTCCATCTAACGCTGCATCAGCAATCACCCGTAAGTGGGATTGATCTGGAGAGCACAAATCGGCATTGAACCCTGTCGATCTAGGGCTGTCGTCGAAATCACAAGGTTAATTTTTTATTTGTTGTCTATCATAATTTTTCACGACAGGGTATGATGTGAAATATAACGACAACGACACTGAGATATTCGCAAAACCTGGTCCCCTGGATAGGTCGAAAACTATTTGAGACAAACGCAAAGCGAGGGCCTCAGTGGTGTCGAATGTGAAACGCGAGCCTTCAGAAAGGGAAATCGTTGTTCGAACTGGTCCGGGGTCAAAGTTTTGCGAACATCAGGATCATTGTAGTTGTATTTCACAGCAAACCCTTCTGTGAAAAATTATAGTAGGCAGCAAGTAAAAGAATAGTTTAATACGGAATATTCTCTCCCTTTCTATGCAATCTCATATTTCCTTTATTTATTACACACTTCTACAAAAATCATGGCTATTATTGATTGAAGACATGCTTCCATCTACGGTACATCTCTAATAAACCGCATTCTCTATAGTCACTCGTGATTACTTGTTTATCGACTTCGTAACAATGTAGACATGTATACGCCGACATTCGTAGCTGATACACCGATCCATTCCAAAGCGGTATATAAGGAGTTCCAATGAGTTGCGAAGCCATTTCCTCTTTGTGTTATCTAACGTGTCCCTCAATCTTCTTCGGTGAGTTGTATTACAAGTACATCTTTGGTTTGCTCTTTATTTCCTGACATTTTTAATCAGTAGATCGTGAAAGCCGTTCTGTTATTAGCGTTAATCCTCAATCGTTTGATTGTTATCGCGTATTTATTCGGCTGCTCTGTAGCTGTTCAAGCAGTGGGTGCAGGGGTTAATGATGTAGTCCAGCAGGAATCAATGTGCTGGTTCAACCATCTCTCCATCGTTTTCCTCCAGTACACATGGGAAAGCCTTGGCCCGACAATTTTCAAGATTGCAAAGAGAATTGACTCGATCAGCATTCTACGACATTCATGGAGGTGAAATTCTCAGGCAGCAGCCGAAACACACTTCGACGGCCCATTTGCACGAGTTGTGTGGACCTCAGAATATTTTCCATTCGTTTCTTTCCCTCGCAATCGTACCCCATAGTAGTGGTTTGATTTGAGCATGGTGGTAGGTTGACTCTCATATCGTGATCTGTAAAACAACTACAGCTGCGAACACAGCTGTTTGACTTCAGTTACAAACACGTCCGCCCAACGTGTAGGTGGTCGTCCAAAGGGACGCTTGCATCCTCGTGGAGTACACCTTCCATCTTTCGTCTGTTTTCTCATTATATGGCTGGCACATCCATGTTTTGCTATCGATTTGCGTTCCATTTCGAAGATGAGAGTTTCGCATTCCGAGTAGATGTTTCTTGTGCCCACGATATTTCAGAAAACATCGTTCAAGTTGAAGAATTTCGCTCACAGAGGAGATCTCATGGCGGTTAGTTGCGGGAGCACTAAAAAGTGACATTGTGCTTGAATTGAACTCCTTGTTTGTGCTGCATCGACTTGGTATACATCTTCAGCGTCTGCGAAGATGTATTCATGCATGCGTGGGTGGGTGTGTTCTCGTTAGTGCGGATTGTATTCTACAGATCAATTCGGATAAAAGCCTGCAATCAAATGCTTGGAAGGTATATGGGAGGCAGCCAAGAGTCACCTCAAAAAAATAAGCACCCTGTCTGCTCTGGCAAAGACTGGAAAGCTACCTGAGACCAAATCCAGCTCCCACGTTCAGTACTCAGTAAGTTACACGTGGTTATCAAAGGCTAATCACAGTTGAATAAGTGGGTCAAATTCCCTGCCGCGATAGAGTCCACGATACGACACCTCTGGGAAGAAAGAATACAGAGAGGTTGCTAAAATGTCAGGGCAACTGTAGGCCGTGTCATACTCTGCAGAACAACTCTGTTTCTCGGACCATGCGATGGTAGAGGAGTTGGCTGCGTACAGATTTGGAGAATTTCTACAGAGAAGACCATGCATTCGTTAATGGCATCAGTGGAGATTTTAACGCTAAAATAGGATTCAGAAGAACGTCTGAAGAACGTCACAATGGAAATCAAGAAATAGTATAGCACGAACAGGGTATGAGGCTCTGCGAGTCGATGATGGCTAGCAAGACCTTTTATGGCAACTCACAATTCTGGAAGTCCCACTCTCAACATTGGACGTGGCAGTCCCTCAATAGAGAGTTCCACAATGAATTAGAGTACATGATAATAAATAGAAAGTACTGCCAAACAGATGCCGTTGCTTTCCGAAAATTCTGCACGGGACCAGATCACCGCGTCTTTAGCTCAAACTTCATTTCTCCTGTGGAAAACGCCACTAAATTAAAAAAAACCAAATTCCCGAATCACCATAAACTGAAACTTATTCAGTTCAATAGTCGGCTACTGGGAAAATGCCTCTCTTGATAACATTGATGAGGAATACGGTCAGCTCATTCAACACCTTTACGTTATCGCTATGAAAGCTCAGAGTTCGAAAATCACCAAAAGACGTTTGTCTCCAGAAGCAATGGACTTGATACGCAAGCTTGGAATCGCACAAGGTACTGGGAACCTCCAACTCACGCCCGAACTCAGAAAACGATGAAGACAGGAGATTAAAGAAGATCTCAATGAGAGAAGAGCAGCAGTTATGGTCGAAGCTGCAGAGACTGGAACTTCGCCAATTATAAAAAATCAAATTATAAATTATAAAACCAAGATGATTGTGCTCCAACACTTAAACGGAAATTTCAGCTTCACAAAAGGAATGGAGAAAATTATTCATGATTACTATTCTAATCTTTTCAATAGTCACGTCCTCCTGTTCCCATGCGAAATAAAAGAGGATCGATATTTCGTCCCACTGGTTCACCCTTCCGAAATCCGACATATTTCGTCAGTGAAGAATCGAACAATACTGGGGTCCGAAAGCGATAAGATTTGAACACCTTACGAACAATTCCGTCAGTCGTCAGCAACATAGTGGCACAGCTACTCACACGTTATCTGTTAGAATGAAAGGTTCCCATTCACTGAAAAACCAGGAAGGCAGTGTTATTGTTTAAGAATGACGATCTTCACGATATCGGCAGCTGTCGCCCAATCTGCTTGCTCTCCGTCGTTTACAAACTTTTCACTCGAGTCGTGCTGAACAGGAGTGACAAAACAATGAACGAAGGACAGCCATGTGAACAAACAGAGTCTCGAAAAGGGTTCAATACGACTAACGGCATTCACGCGATAATAAGACTCAACGAAGTATCACGAGAGTACAAGAGACCGACCTGTCTCACCTTCATTGATTTAAAGGACGCTTTTGACTCACTAGAGGTAGAAATAGTCGTGGGAATCGTGGACAGCTAAGAAGTCCCCACCCAGTATATCAAAGCTCTCCATAAGCTATACAAAAATTTCACTACCCAAATATCACCATTGTACGACGATGTTAGTATCGAGGTCAAAAGAAGGGGTTAGGCATAGCGATACCATCTGGCCAAAACTATCCATCGCTAACGTCTAGAAGGTCATGCGAACGCTGGAATGGGGAAGCATGGTAGTAAAAATTGATGGTCAGCAATTACACCATCTTTCTTTGATGATGACACCGTTCCTATAATAACAAGCATTATCCTAGCGGAATGAATGCTAATCGGCTTTGATAACGCATACCCACAGATTGGTCTTCCACTAAATCTCACAATAACGACGTTCATGAGGTACGGATTGGTTTCGCGCGGTTTCACACTTAACACTTAAGAAAGAATATACCCGGATTTTTCAACTACGTCTATCTAGGTCGGCGAATCAACATGATGAACGACTAAACTCTAAAGTTGAACAGGAGAAAGCGAGCGGCTTGGACCTTTCAAGAGCTTCGAATATGTAGTGTGGAGAAAAAAGAACACCCGACTCCATGCTCCATTTTCGATTTCACGATCCTTTCCGTCTTAACGTAGGCATCAAAAACACTGTTGCTCGGTAAACAGGATGCAATACTACTCAACGTTATAGAACACACAATCCAAAGGAGTGTGCTAGGAGTATCCCGCATCACGCAAGTGAGGGAAGGAATCCGAGTTTCCGATCTACCTCAACGATCAAAACTCAACGACGTGGTTTTATCAGCCAAACTGTTGAAAATACGGTGTTCCGGACACATGATACGTATGAACAATAGCCAATGGACAAAAGTCGTAGCAATGGATTCCTTGGAATGTTAAACGTAATACAGGGAGACCACCGATTCGATGGTCAGAGTTCTTCATGAAAACCCTAGGTGAAAGTCACGAGGGCGTTGGCAAGAATGTTATGAAATGTGTGATTTTCACAACTTGAGACAACAGAGAACTTGTGAATCGGGAGAGATTTGTATCTAAAAGTTAAATGTATGGTGACTTTATGTTAAGATGGTGCCGGAGTGTGATGTACGCTATGAGGTGGCGTCTGAGGTATGATACTGTAGGGACGACCCCTGAACTTGTGCCTTCATATGAACGATAAACTCACACAACAATAACTATACAGCAAGATTAACAAGTGCAGAGCAGTTAAATAAGACTTGAAAAGATGAACCTTAATACACTGATAATGGAGGACTCTGAATAGAACCATTGAGGTTAATCCAGTTTGTCCTGTTCAAAAGAGGATTAGGAAGCTAACGTTATGCAGAAAAAGCATGGATGATCTAGCAATCAGAAGACGCTTTCTACATAGGGTTTGGAATATTCTGAGAATGCTGTAAAAGCCGTGACCCTTTACTTGCTTCTGTTTTTATAAGCGTACAGGTGTTTGCAAACAAAATGATCACAGAGTGCTTCTCAATCATTGGCTTTTGGATACATGCAACTGCGTATATTTCATGGTATTATGGAGCACTTTGCAGCCTGCTGAGAAGGTAGTAATAAGCTGATTGCTACGAAGCATTATGCTGTCAAAATAGAAGTTTCCAGATAGTGGGACTGCGTAAAGAAAGTTTCCTATGGTAGAAACAATATTCTATGTAGTAAAGGTTTAACAAGATTTTCTGTGCTTTTAGGTAAACATAAAGCCAAGGAACAAAACAGGGATAGAGAAACACTTTGCTCTTTTGATATCTAGCTACGACATCTTACATCTTACAAGCTCTTAGCGATTTACTGAAAGAAAGACAGCAGCTTGAGAAATCGTACAATACATTGGTACCGGTGGCTATAAGATCATGATTAGTTTCACGTTGAATAGATCTCGTGTGGACGAAGAATCGAAAAACTTACAGTTTGAGCTAAAGATGTAAACCTTTACTTCAACACAAAACAAAAGATGTAAGCAAGTGAACCAAGTCTACTAATCGGTAGGAAGATTTCAGCGAGCTCACACAGAGTGAGCACATTCAAATTCATGACATTTGTTAACAACTCGAAAGACCGACTTTCTATGAACCTCGGCATAGATAGTTGATATATTTATTTATGTGATCTTATAAACTGATCTTCTTAAGCT